AAGATGTTCAGGATCTAGGAACTCAAGCAAGTGTTGTGATTCAGAAGGTATATATTTTGGCTGGCAATACCAAAAATGTGGTTTCTGTGAACCACTGATCGTGCAACCATCCTGAAATGTTGCTTCATTCCGCCACTTCTGTAATTCACGAGGGTAAATACAAGCGGCTTGTACTGCATTCAAAAAGCGTTTGGGCAATTTTTTCTGCACAAAAGTTTTCACCATAGAGCGTAACGATTGCGGTTGAAATATCCTCCTTTTAATGTCAACAGTGGATCCATCACCAAACTTTTCCAAAAATCTGTTTACAATTTCACATTTCCTCATACTTGACAACGATTGCATGCCATTCTTCTTTAGCTTCTCGTTTATTGGTCTACAAAATGAAATTATTTCTTGCTTAGTCAGTTTGTTCAATGAAGCAGCTGTGGATATAATGTCGAGAAATTCTTCTTTTGAACAATGTCTCCGTTTTCCATCTTCGCAGAAACCCATCCACATTGCATGCTTGTCATAATCATCCAGAAGATTTACGGTTTCTTTGACATTTTGTGCTCTTTCTTTGTCTTCAGCAATTTCTCCGTTTTCTTTAGGATTTATTGATATTGTCTCTCTTTCTGAATTGAGAAGATCCCTCCAGTTTAATGGAGTTCTGGGTGTATTTTTCTCCTCCCCAAGATAGCCAATACAGAATTGATGAACTATGCCATTTTTTATACGGACGTCTTTACACTGAACATCGAATCTACTCTTCAAATCTTCATAACTTTGGATACTATCAATCTTAAATGAATCAATGATGTTTTTCACAATTTGGTGTTTTGGCATAGTACACGCTTCTGTCCAGACATCTTTTGAAAGCTGTAATAAGGTAAGAGGTTCATTTCTCTCTCCACGCAATGCTAATCGAGCAAACGCACCATCAAAACATTGTGCAACAATGTTGAGTCCCCTTTCTTTACAAGATTTTCTTACTTCCGTGAGTATATCTGAAGCTTGCTGACAAGTAAAACTGTAGCCAGTGAGACAATATGCTACTGGACATGAGTGTGGAATCTCTGGTTTATAATAACGGTCAAAGTCAGACAGCATGATTACTAGCACTTGTTTTGCAATATCTCTTGTCAGTGAATTTGCAGCCAATATACAATTTTGGTACTTCCGAAAGCTTGTTTCTATTTCCTCTGTCCATACCATCTCCATGTTGCCACAAAAAACATCGTTATCTTCGTTTCTTCCGTGAGATAAGTAAAGATCTTGCACGTTATTGATATGAACAGAAGTGTGTGAACAAGAATTTGCTGTTAATGATCCTACTTCACAAATGAAATTGCTTTTCGTTTCAATGTATTCAGCAATATCCGACTTCAGCTCTTTTAACTTTGGATGAAGCTTAGTTGGTCTTTTAGGACAAGCATCTCCATAAATATCCACTATAATATCCCACATCTTCTGCCAAAGGTGTTCTGAGAAAGTTGCCTCAATAACAGTTGTTACGTTTGGTAGCCAGCAAACCAGCAATGCTGATTTCACTTTCATAGCCTGCATTTCCAGCATCAATTGCAATACATATCTGGTAGGAATTCTGTAGTAAGGCCCAGCTGCAGATGAATAAGGACATTTTATTTCGATAGCTTTCTCTGCCTTGTCATTTCGTCGAAGACTGCCATCAGGACTGACAACACAAAATGGTTTACCATTTCTTTCAATAATGTGAGCGCCTTCTTCTTGGAAATGCAAATCTGGGTAAAAGGTTGGAAGAACTGAAGCTATCAAAGTTGCCATTCCATTGACTTCATTCTGTTCTCCGTGCGCCATTCTTTTCCTTGTTTCCTCATTTACAGGATCCTTTTCTTTGTTGCGGAATTTCTGATCAAAATGTTCCTGTTCCCGTTTTAATGATTCAAGACCTATTGCTGCATATGCTGTACTTCCAGTTATGGAAGCATTGCTGCGGATATCAAACCATTCAGGGGATCGCTGTTTGACATATTTGCATGAAATATGTAGTGGAATGTTGCAGCGCTGTACGAAGTCTTTATCCATGGCAACTAAGCACTTGTAATTAGGCTGATAATCCAAATCTACCTTGTTTGATATTGGATATGGAATTCCATTCAAAACTGAGCCAATACGCAATATATCGCTTGTTGTCTTGTTAATATCTGACATAGCAATTCTTATGTCACAAAGTGAAATCTGAATTTTACTTAGAACATACGCCACTTTTGACTCCTTCCAGTTTGGACCAGCTTCAGATTTTAGCTTTTCGACTGTGTATTCTTTTTTAGTCTTCAGCTCTTGGAGATCTCTTTGTCTTCTACTTAGTATTTTCACAAATTGAGCAAGCATTGCGGTGAATTGTTGTTTTTTTAATTTGGTTGTCTTCTTTATCAATTTCTAACTGTTCGTGTAGAGTTCTTGCATTGGTAAGTACATCTAGTTCTTCATGTAATCTTTCATTTCTCTCAATAAATGTGGGCTTTTTCTCAAATCCTAAGCAGTTCACATCCCCAAATTTGCCCCCTGGATTTAGTTTTTTTAAGTCCATACTCAGTTTAAAAGCAGTTAATTTGGATTCACTCTTCGATGCAATATGTTCTATAACTGGAATCATAATGCCAGGTGATTGACAACTTTCTTTAATTGTGTCGTTCTCTGTTTCTAGCATTTGTTTGCTTGGAACAATAAAGTTAATCTTTGAATCCTTTGTTTCAAACTGGCCTAGCTGAACACCTTCTTCAAACGTTTGACCTTTGTGCTTTAGTCCTGACATAAATCTCAAAAATTTATCTTTGAACAATTGCTTTCCTGTTCTCCAGAAGCGTTTCACATTGGAATCGTATCGCATTCCACAGGAATTGTGTGTTGCAAACCATGTAACGACGTTCATGAACAGTTTATAGGAAATGTTGTTTAGAGGAAGGGTTCTGTTTGCCATAATTCTGATAAGATTTGTCCATTCCTCTACTTCTTCATTTTCAACTATGTATTCAGCCACTTTGGGTAGATAACTAGACACATCTTTGATAAAATGCTTTGCTTTGTCGGTTAATTGTCCACAATCGATGATAACATTTGCTTCATCTTCTTTTCCGTTGTCTGATTTATCTTGGATCTTAGGATTTCCATTTGCTTCATTCTTTTCTTCATTCTCAGTTTCTAAAACCTTTTGTTTTTTTATTGGAGGGAGGTCCAAAGAATCTTCTATGTTGACTAATTTAATGTTTCTTTTCTTTTCATTTGGAATAATACTTCTACCAGCTTTAAATTCTATTTCGGGTGTTACTTTAAAATTTATATTTTGGAATGTTCTGTTTGGAAGAGTTCTTTTCTTGATGATTAATTGATCTTTTGTGTGATGATGGATGGAGTGATGAACTGTGTTTTCAAACGATGATCCTGTGAATTGACAGCGAAAACAACCAAATTCTGTCATCTGTAAAACAATTGTATCGTATGTACTATAGCTCTTGTACTGTATATATACAGCAGTAAAACGTCGCACCAGATGAAAAAAAACACAAGCCAGAAGTAGCATTTACAGGTGCCGAAAGTCGCATATACAGCAATAATATTCGCATCGTTATCAGAAAATTTAATATTGTATCAAAATGTGAGTCTTGTGAAACATGAAAGAAAGAAAAAAATCACTTACGATTAGAATATCATTTACAAAAATCAGTTTTAACATAATTAATGCAATATAATTTGTGTAAAACAAGAAAACTGCTTATATGGAAAAGTCAAGTAACAAACATTTATAAGGTGTAATTAAAGCAGTTACTGGTGTTTTTCGCGTATATATTCATGGAACAAGCAATAATACAGTAAAAAAACATTTCAAACATTAATAATTACCTCTTAATCAAATAAACTGCCATGCCGGAACGTCAAATTGATCTGTGTTGCCTCATTGATGTAAACCAATAGTAGCGAGTGACCGAAACCAAGATTTTCTCGATTCGCACTTTACCAGCAGTGCGCATATCGACACCCGTGTTGATACGCTGCTCATTATCTTGTCTCTATCTACCTTACCAGGCCATTATATTCAGTCCAATACGTACCGACACCCGGGCTGATACACTGCTCACCAACTTCCAGCTTGTCTTTATTTATCATTTCAGACCGATCTATTCAGTGCTATACTTACCGACACGCAGGTTGTTACTCTGCTCACCAGCTTCTCTATTCATCGTACCGTATCGATCAAATCAGTATTTCTTATTGGACCTTTCTTTTCAGTCCTATGGGTACCGAAAACTTGGATGATGGATGATGCGCAGATTACCAGTTTGTCTCTACCTATCGTATCAGTTCAATATGCAGCGACGATCGGGTAGATACACTGTTCACAAGTTTGTCTCTACAACTGTATCTATCGTATCATACTGTTCTATTAAGTCCTATACGTAACTGACACCCTGGATAATCCTCTGCTCACCAGCTTGTCTCTATCTATCGTACTAGACCAATCTTATTCAGTCCTATACGTACGTAACGACACCCTGGGTGATACGCTGCTTACCAGCTAGTCTCTATCAATATTACTAGACCAATCTTATTCCCTCCTGTACCTACCGACACCCGGGCTGATACGCTGCTCACCATCTTCTCTTTTTCTAGTACCTATTGTAACAGACCGTTATATTCAGTCCGACACGTACTGACACCCTGGGTGATACGCTGCTTACCAACTTGTCTATATCTATCGTACTAGACCAATCTTATTCAGTCCTATACGTACGTAACGACACCCTGGGTGATACGCTGCTTACCAGCTAGTCTCTATCTATATTACTAGACCAATCTTATTCCCTCCTGTACCTACCGACACCCGGGCTGATACGCTACTCACCATCTTCTCTTTTTCTAGTACCTATCGTAACAGACCGTTATATTCACTCCTACACGTACTGACACCCTGGGTGATACGCTGCTTACCAACTTGTCTATATCTATCGTATTAGACCAATCTTTTTCAGTCCTATACGTACCGACACGCGGGTTGATACGCTGCTCACCAGCTTGTCTCTATCTATCGTACCCGTCAATAACCCAATCCGAAATTTGTCTCTGGAACTGGGTTTGTTATCTGTTCCTACAAAAGTAACTAATGTAGTATTCTAGTTTTCCAGTTGTCCTTACCTTACAATGTTTTTATTTCCCTTTATACAATATGCCTCTTATACTCTTACTTGAACAAGAGTCCATTGCTTGTATCTTCTTCATAGTTGTATACAAGGGAAAGGCCTCTTCCACCTCGGGATCAAACATCTTTCTGATCCTGTCTGGCCGTGTCTCTGATTTTCGACTTTGGAATTCGCTCACAATTTTACATTTACCCTTGATTCCAAAAAGAAAGGATTTTCAAAAATAATAAGTTTCATCCTTTATTTGTGGTTTTTTTTTTGGTTTTTTTTTTCTACAATAAAAAGCAGTCATTGACGGTATGTTGTCTCTTACCGCTTTAATGACAATGATGTATTTACTTTCCAGACTGTCTCTGACAATGACATCATCAGGTCTGAAAATATCCATACTTTTTTTTATTACCTGGCAATTCAATATTATTTTTTAAACATTTTTAAATTTGGTATTATTACTTCTCATAAATAGATTGTTTAATAACAAAACCCTGACTAACTTGAAATATTGGTAGAAAAACTGGGTTGTGTTGTGCTGGAAAGCTTTTTCGCAAGGGAAATCTTTGAACAACATCAGTGATCTAAATGGATTTTGAATTTTAACATGTATTCAAAGGCAACAAATATTCTCAAACTTTTGATAAAATTTTCAAAATTCGTACTTGCAGAATTCTACGTTTTGTTCTTTTTGTTTTCGCAGTGGCTCCTTGATTATGACATCGAAATCCTTTAAAATACACATTTGATTCGAGTAAACAACAGTTTGGTTTCAGATGTATATAAAATGAATACAACATAATATTCAGTTAAAGAATTGGTGTCTTTTATACCTCTTTCAAAACGACTAGAAACTCACACGTTGTTTTACAAATGATGGAGGCTGTGCGGAGTCCCCCGTGTATCAAAGAAATCTCCTGAAATATACAAATGAACAGAGCATAAAAAGTTATACATGTACCAGTGATTAAATAAAATCACATCCTATACTTCCTTCAGAATTCGCAGATAAACGATTTTTAGTCAACGACTTTTACATATTTTTACTGGTCATTACCCGCATAGCGAAGTGGTTGAAGCGTCAACTCTCAAAAAGGCGAAGTAAGGATTTGATCCTTACGTCGCGGGTTCGAATCCCACTGTGGGACGTGGAGACTAGCTGGTTCCCCGGATGAGACCGTTTAAACCAAGATCTTGTTTCGCAGTGGGTGTTGGCACGAAAAAGATCCCTTCTTGCTCAATGGCCACGAGTACCGAGTATAACACAAAATTTGCAGCTCTCCATCGAAAAATGGAGGCGTCTCCATATAAGTGAAAAATTCTCGAGAGAAACGTTGAACAACAGACAAAGAAACAAACAAACAAATATATTTTTATTGAGAATATTTACCCCAAACGTGTCCCCACCGTTAAGTTCGTGAACTGTTCGGACGAATTTGTTTCCCGTTCGCGGGTCTTCGTCAAGGATGTTCACTATGGCTGTGCCTGTCAACATGATGTAAAACATGGACGGAGGGTGGCCCTGCTTCAAAATCACTCGGCGTGCCTCGTAACTGCAAATTTATTATTTAAGGAAATCATATGAATTACAGTTATGTGTTTATTTCTGATTCCATGTAAAATAAAAAAGACATACTGTATTGTTGTCTAATAAAGAAAACAGTTATGAAGTTTTTCACAGTGAGTTTTAGTTGCAATATTTAATCTATCACAATGACCTTTCTCAGTTAAATTGGCACTGTCCTTACGGCGATTTATGGTTCAGGTACATCTAATAGTTTCTGTTTGCTCCAAACTTAATCCTGGCCAATCATCCAGAAAACGTACATGTAAGTCTAATACAGCATCTTGATAGACCTGATCCCACCTCCGATGTTTTGGAGGTCTGTGTTTGCTCTGCTCCTGTTTTGTATTGGTTTATGGACTTTTGAATACTGTTCGTTATCTCCATGTGTTTCACCTCTTCCGCCAAGAAGTGGCTTTTCAATTTTGAGTGAAAATTTTCGAAGGAAGGTTAAACAAAATATGGATGAATGTCAGATCCAGCATTCGAAGCAATCTTCTAGATGTTCTGCCCTTGCAATTTTGGTCAACATAAGACTTTAAGTTAATGTAGATTGATCCTGTTCCAAAAACCTCATCCTGGTCACTCGTCATAAAAATGTATGCAAGTTCAGCAACCAGAGCACGTCTTGACGTCAATTTACAGCAATCCACGAGGCCCATGGGCCAAAACTCTCACCTGAGTAACTAATGGCCCTTTTGTTCTTTATTAGCAGATTTCTTTATTCTTATGTAAAAATTTTCCCACCTTTGGTACTGCATACAGCGGGCTAGTTGTATCTGTGTGTGTACGGGGTAGTCCTGAAAGGAGGCGTTGTCCCTCATCAGAGCCATTATCTGTCAAATAGAAAAAAAAAACATTACCACTGATTAAAGGCGCCGTCTTAGGTAATGGGCCGATTATAATGAGTCATTTCTTTAAAGTCTGGGCTCACCACTTGAATGTTCTGCAGAGTTCTTCGTTCTTTGGGTATGGAGAGTAGTTCTTTCAACTTGTCTCTTAGCTACAATTTATAGGATGAAAAAATGTTAGGCTTTTATTTTCGAGTCAGTCTTTGCAATGATTTTTAAATAAATTGTCCTTATAGCAGGTGTTGGGCTTGTAGCTTTTTATACTAGTACTTGTACTTACAGACCTGAAGTATCTATATTTAGTGATTAGTTACATTGTACTTTAGAAGGTTATTAAAGGTAATGTTCACAATTTGTTTTAACTAGATGTCTTCTATTTTCACGCAGTAGCGTTTCTAGAGAAGGTAGTGACAGTTTCGATAGCTCTTTGCACTGGTGTTTAATTACATTTAGTTGTTTAATAGCCATTCTCTGTTACCACTTAAACTTCGTTGCCACGCATGGTCAACGATTTTGATGAAACTTCACCCATGCTTAGTACTTGACACCAGAAACAAATATCAAACAAAATTTCGTTGCTATGTGTCTGGGTTGCTATGGCAACAGCCGGAAAAGTTTGAAAAATCTTTTAAGCCACTTTAAATCTTGACTGTGGCTTAATAAAAACTAGAAAAAGCAAACAAATCATTCTCACAAAAACATGACACCTTGATGTCACTTATACTGTAAAGAAACTGTTTAGAATATATCTCTAAGTAAGTGGTAACCAAGGGTACATTTAGAATACATTTAAAATGCTGAAATATGCTGAAAAACACTCCGTATTCACTAATGGTAGGTGTTGCATGCTCAAACTCAATCAACGACTTAAGAAAAACAGTGAAAATGTTTGACCTTAAGTATATACGTATATGCAATATTATTCTATAAATAACTTTTATGGTTGCCATGGTAACACAGTGTAACCATGCAAAATCAGTAACTAAGATTGGGTTAATGCTACTGTCTTGAGAAAAAACACGAAAATTCAAGACTGGCAAATATGCATCCTTAGGACCTTGCAACACCAAAACCATTAGAAAAATTGGGTATAATTGCTACTTTGCAGTGTTACCATGGAAACAAAGTACCAGTGCTTAAGAGTGAATTATTTTTCGCTGCATTAAGAATTAAATTGCCATTTAATCAAGAAACAAATGAAAGGACTCAGCTTGAATAGTACTTATCTGTAAGAACTGAGTTGAAAATCATATATTGATAAAATTTGATGAATAAAACAACACTGTTGCTATGGTTACCAAGAAGGGACAATGTTCGATGTTGTGAACTTTTTATCAATATTAAACCCTGTGTGCCAACTTCTTGCATCCACTTAAAGATTGGATGATAGTCAAAATTAAAAGTCAAGTTACCTGTTAATAAATATCAATCATAAAAGTTTTGGGAATCTACATTTAAGGGTATGTATCCAAGGAAAGAAAATATTTTTCAGGTTTTTAAGCATATATTTTCTGCTTATTTCCATAGCAACGCTCTATTTAAAGAATCTAATCTGAATTTTTTCAAATGGGATAACTTGGACCACACCAACATCTTATAAAATTTATCATTAGTTATGAGGAAATGTGCTTTTTTTAAAAGATAGGATCAGGTTTAAACATACAGAGTGTTACTTTGAAGGCTCTCTGTGGTATAAAAACCTTGGCAACCATTGCCAACCAAAATGAAAAATCATATTTTGTTCTTGGTATATGTTTCAAGGCTCTTTTTTCTATTATTTGGTCACATTTCATCCTATAATTGGTTTTTTTTATTTTACATGCATGACTTTATAAAATTCAATGAATATTTTTTTACTTTTGAATACTTTGTTACCATAGTAACGTATGTAATAGTTGATTTACCAAACATTTTTATCATGCATTTGAGACATCTGACCTTCAACTTTTGGAAACAGTCATTGCCAATTGTTTGCTTTGCAGCAAATGTTAACTATGGGGCTCTAAACATGTTAGAAAATGCCATTTTTCGAACTATTAAGACATGTTGCCATGGTAACTATAAAACATAGCAACCAATTTTTGCCTGATTTCAGTTTAGGGTATCAATGACTGCTATCATAGAAAGTTTGGAGAAATTCTGAGACTATGCGTGCCACAGCTCCTATATAAAATTTCAAATCATTACAGAGAATGGCTCTTAATATCTAATCTATTTAAACCTGTAGATGACTTTTAAAGTGTTTAATTCAATTAGTCGTTTAACTTTTATGTAAAACTGTTATAAATTACAGTATATTATGTCACCCACTGGTTCAAATTTGCCGTACGTGTTGGGATTGAAGGCTAGGACTTGGTTCATATCATCCCGTAAATGTATGTACATCTCCATGAATGACCATTCACTGGTGTTGGGTTTTAGAGTGTATCTGCAAAAGTATTTTTACAAGATTTTTTTTATTGCTGTTAAGGAGGCTGGGGGTCAACAAATTAACCACCAGATTTAACTTAATTTTTTAGATATGATATCTTAAGCTGTCAACTATCATTTGGCAAAGAAAAATTTCATACATTCTATTTTTTAAATTTGATCATTTTTGTATAATCTTTACATGGAGCTCTTCTTTTAAAGGAGGTCAAAATAGTCTGAAAAATGGCCACAACCCCAGCCCCTTTAAACAAGTTTCATTATTCTATACAGCATACAGAAATATACCTCTGCGACCATTAAATTGATGTTTTCTCAGTCATACAAAGTAAAAGTCGTGACAGATTTGACAATGACATATCGAGAATAGCAGTTGTTCAAAATTTACATTATGAATAAAAGGTGGATGGGGTGGAGTTAGTACTCACCTCTTTAACCAAATCCAAATCCCGGATACAATTAGAACACTCCTGGCGATTCTTCTGAACTTGACAATGGCCTACAATGTGTATCATCATAAAATTATGAACACCAGTTACCCATATGTTGTGAGAAATATTGAAATGATACAACAAAGTGCAGGGTAAATAGAATATAAAATATACGTAGAAAGAAAAAAAAATTAAAAAGTGCAAATGAAAATACATGTATTGTGCAATCGAGGCAGTTGCACTAGAGGTGTATGTATAAAATTTTAACCTTCTCCGGTACGTAGTTCTGCAAATAAAGAAATCTGATATAAAATCTTTTAGAATATTTAGTTTTCAGGAAAAATAAAATTTTGCTTTTTATCTTTATCTTACAACAAAGATAAGACATAAGAGCATGAGAACTAACCGGTTCCCGCGGAGAGAGGTCCTCCTGGGGTGAGGGCAGGGGAGGGAACAGTAGACCTTTGGTAGACATTCTCCTCCTCCTCTGCAGACGACCAAGTCCTCGACTCAACATCCGGAGATGCTGCTCCCCAGTCACTGACGTCACAGAACTCCGGCGAAGGTCGTTACCGATGGAAATTACGGAGCTCCGACGTCGAACCGGTGAAACACGGCCGGAGCTCCGGATACTGGTTGTACCTGAGTTAATGGATGATTGTTGTTTGGGAATCTTTTGTGATTCCAAAGGTCTAAGTGAGAATTCTTTTAGCAGAAGTTTGTACTGTGACTCTGCTTCTGACCTGGCCAAGGAAGTACCAAGTCTGACGACAAAATCCGGGGTGTCCCGATCATCGCTTTTGCTATCCGAAAGATTCTCACCCGGATCCAGAAGATGTGGTACATCCAGACTCTGAATCGGAGTGGACGTCAGCAGACGATCCTCTTCTATCGAGTTATCCATAATATGAAGAAATTTTTGCTTCTAGCATAAACAGACTAGAACTCCACAGAAAAACAAGCTTTCTGATACATATATTTCTTTGATTTGAGGCGTAATTACGGATAGAAGATAAGGACTTTCTCGTTTTGATAAGTAAACATTGGGGTATTCTGTGGAGAGGTTAGGCATTATACAAACCATGGAACAGATTTATTGGTCATTTATAAGAAGAATGGTCGAGTTACTCGGGAGAGTGACGATATTGTTCAATCTTTATCTTTAAGAAATAACAGATTCCCTTCTGAATAGTTCGATTCATCAAATAGAAACGTTTATCAATGAATATCGTGTTTAATCTCTCTTTTTATCGGACTTAAATTGAATTTGGCAGAGTGGTGGCATAGTAAACGAAAAATGTATTGACACTTTCGTAATCTATCTAACTGTCGCTTTCATTCCGTTTAAAGTTTTCAAAGAGCGTTCTCGATTGTTTTTGGTATGTTTTTTCCTGTCTTATTCCTTTCCTCTTGTTTGACAGGATGGCCACTTCCCGTGAGAAAAATCAATACAAAAGACGTAAAATTCAAACATTACCGCGGTTTGCATACATGTATATATAAGCCATAATTAATGCATAGATACTCTTTGGTCAAAAACGTACCAGAAATACTATCCATCAAAAAAAAAAGTTTTTGGTTCTTTTTTTAAAGGCCACACAAAACAGATTTTCTGTTTTGACTTAAGTTGCTCGCAGAGATGTTTCAAGCATGACGTTGCGCAAGGAGTTCACTAACTAGTACATGTATGTATATGCGTTACAACAAAATATTATGCAATTATATTGCTGGTTTTTGAAATTTCACACCTGAGAAATACAAAATTCACCGTGCTTGAAGGACGAGGTGAATATTATGCTTCGAGGGTGGCTTAATCATCGTATTGACCGAAAACACCCCAACAATGATTGTTTTATATTATATGATTCAATGATTAAATGACAAAAACTCATGACAATTAAGTTTTTGTATATTTGAAGAGTGTGGAATTTTACATATTTTTGTCTCAGCCTTCCCATGACCTTGACCTCATTATGAATATAACTTTTCCAGATTCTTTTTATCAAACTTCATACATTTTTCCTTTCACTAAAAAAACAGTTTACACACCTTTATGCTACAGTCAAAAACACAGCAAGGCGTCCTTGTTCTTTCAAAGTCGTTGACTTCTAATGCTTCAAACCTTCGATTTTTCATACCAATTTAACACAAATCCGCGTTTTTCAGGCACCGGCACTTGTTTCGGAACTAATTTTTTAACCCATAATATAATAATAAGTACCTGTGTCATGATTATACTATGGGTTTAAAAATTATTTCCGAAACAAGTGCTTGTGTTTCCAAGGGGTCGACGTCTGCGTTTTCCAGTGGGGGTCCAAGGACCCTTTTTACTTGATTTAGTATTTGAATTTAATAACCTTGCAAATTCCTGGGGGGTCCGGACCCCCCCCCCCCCCCCTCTAGATCCGCGCATGCATGACTGTAGTTTTTTTTTAAGAATTAAGAGAACTGATTCACATAATTTGGTGAAATTGTAGTTAATAAAACATTCTCGTCTCGTAGATTTCAAATTAAAATTCAAGGTGCGATTAATTGGACACTGATATTTTTATTTGAAAACGCATTCAAAATGACTCCCATCGTCTCAAGCCACGGTCCGGAGTTCGCATATAGCTCACATCGTCTCAAGCCACGGTCTGGAGTCCGCATTTAGCTCTCTCCAGAATGGGAGAGGATCGTACATTTTGACCGTGGTTTGCGACGATGAATGATACCATGATTACAAAATCACACTACTATCATTCCAATAACAGCGTATAACTTTGCTTGATCGAGCGTGGAAAAGTTTTACATGTTGATTACCATATATTTACATTTCCAATGTCTTTGTCCGAGATAAAATTACCAATTGTAAATGTAATTGATTTCCTCATGAATGTTTTGGCGCGGTTCCAAAAAAAACCACGTGCAGGGCGGGACAACACCTAGAGAGAAGCAGGCTTGGAGCCCGTGGATTGGCGGAATCAAAGCATGTAAATATAAGGAATAACTGTCAGATTTTTCGAATTCATGAAGATGATCAATGGATTGGCTTGTGTGATAATTTTATGCATAAACGCCTTCGGCGTTTATGCAAATTATCACACGAGCCAATCCATTGATCACTTCATGAATTCGAAAAATAAGACAGTTATTCCTTAAATATTACTCATCGATTGGATGTATGATTTCAATGAAAGCAATACTACAGTGGCTGATCCAGAAGTTCATGTGGGGGGTGGGTTGAGGCCCAAAGGACTGAAGGGGGGCATGGGAGGGGGTGTCCCCCTCCCATAGGTGGGGGTTCGGGGGACCTCCCCCGAGAAAATTTTGTTTTAAATGGTTCTAAATGGTGCATTTTCCAGCATTTTGGGAGTAGTTTTTGTAGCTTTTTTAAATACTGATCATCACAATTTTTTAATAAAATGTTTTCAATTTAATTTAACTTTAGCACAAGACTTTAGACTTTGCTTAAAAAAATTGTTAAATCTGCCAATTTTAGGAATGCAAGCAGTTGACTTCAAGTTGTCTTTACTTTAAATGCACCTACAATCAATTTAGTCCTATGTCAAGCTGACTTCCAAGATACAACTATGTGCAAAATTTTTAAACATTAAAAAAAATAAAAATTGAATTATTTTCAGAATCCCTAACTAGTGCTTTTCAACTTACTTGAGTATATACTGTTAATATGATTTGGAATATAAACACACGTGTTCAATTAATGAAATTTCAAACTGAAGAAAAAATTACATAAACTGGAGAATCTGTCAGAACTAGAGGGGTTTGCTAAGCCAACCTGGTTTTGTTAGAAAAAATATATATTAATTTTAATTTTTAAAACGGTAAAAAAAACTAAATTATAGTTTATTCATAGTTTAAAAAACATGCATTTTATCAGCAAAAGAATATTACTGAGCAGCACCGTAACTATGCAGTTTTCTGGTGTTGGTACCTGACTACATTGTACTGTGACCTTGCGACTTCACTAGATGCACGGACTACCCGATCTCTGAGGCACTCTCTTTGTTGATTACCTGTGTATTGTGTGCGTTCAAGCGGAAAGTGATTTCCTGTTAAGTAGTTGTATATTTCACAGTTGTAAAAACAAAGGGTTCATGTTTATTAGAGTCTTATCAATGCAAGAAAATGATGAAATGACACTTGTAAAAAAAAATTCAATGAGCAGGGGTTTCCCCCCCCCCCCTGAATCCGCCACTGTACTGCTTTGATATGAAATACAAAACCCAGCAATACCACTTACAATACTGACCAATCGTATTGAATGATTGTTCACGAAAATGCAGTAAACGATAATCACATGTGGACAGGCAAAGCAAGTTTTTATCCTTATAATGATGGAATTGATTGCTATATACAATATAATATATATTATAACAGTTTCAACGTATAGCCTTACTTATTTCATGCTTTTTAAATATTCTTATACGTATCAAATTAAAGCTGACATGAATTCTTAAAAACGCAACATTTTCATCTATGTACGACTTGTTTCATACCAACTATAGCCGTATTCCGCCATATTTCTTTCAGATACCTTGTCTCATTGTAACGATATATACCCCAAAGCGCTCGTTACAGTTGAATGATTTTTTGGTTTGGGTATCGACTTGTGCACATCTCCGATGGTAAAGCATATGAGAACACATGAGGAGATCAAGACATTTCAAAACCACAATAAACAACATAATAATCATGTTTCTGACTAATTATTGATTTGAATCAAAAGAAAAAAATGTAAATTTGGTGAGAAATTTAGATGCACGTCACGCGTACGTATTATTACAGTGCGCCAAGTTATGCAGAATAAACTTGAAATAAAAAGCAGTAAAATCTGCAAACACATTTTGAAATTATATCATTTGAATGGAACAAAACAACCAACGTCTTTGATTTGCAGCCCCTATGCAATTGGTGCATATCGAGAAAACGCCTCGAACGCTGTAAACGTACCCATCCATACCTGGTAATAAGGTTACTGCATCGGTTCGAAGATGTGCACAAGTCAAGTGATATACACCCTGAATTCCATTTATTGAAATATGCATCACAAAAAAGAAATAAACTCCGTAAAAGCTCAAAAGTAAACACACTGTCATTACTCCGGTAAGACTAGCAGGCCGATACACTTAGTCCGTGCTGATCAGATTTTGGTCAGGGAAAATATCACAAGTGGAAAGAGAAGTCATTTGGTATTTGCGCGGCTGAAGGGGGGGGGGGGGTATTATAACTGCTGTTCATAAGCTATAATTGTGAATTGTCTATCTACATGTAGTTCTAATATACATTCTATACAAAGTCATGTATATAGTCTGCAGTTGGTTTGCGTCGCAAAATTCATTTGTCAATTATAACTGATTATTTTAGTACTAATCTCAAATCTAAACCAAGTAATTTGATGTACGGTAATTATTTACTTCAAATCTTCAAAGCAATTAATCAGAATACAATTTTTTTTATGTGTACATAGATCTATACGTTCTTTAACACACAAACATACGAAGAAATGCCATCCCCTGTTCAGATTGACATCTAGGCATTTGATTTTTAGGCGGGGGGGGGGGAGCGTGCAAAAATAGTTGACATGACCGTTATCTAAATATTCTTGGAAGACAGACATCTCTGCCGAATTCAATTTTGAATTTTTTTTTAAATGTGTCACTCCGACCACAAAGTATGTGCATTTTGAGGAATGTATAAATGTTTTATAATTATGTTGTTATAGAGAGTCTATCGAAATTTCAGTATCCCTGCCTGATAGTCTCGCTATTTTTTTTTTATATATAAATAATTTCTGTAGGAGTATTTGGGAGATAATTATAAAAGCTAGGGTAGGGATTCTTGACACTGGTTGAATACGGATAATTTTTATTTACTCTTTTGTATATTGAACTAACTCTCTCTCTCTCTCCCTCCCTCTCTCACTCTGTAACCATCCCTTAGGGCAATAATAGGTATAAAGATCTTACGCACTTTCTGCTGTACCATTTATTAAGCCTTAAGACAGATCAAGGATTTTTTTCCAGGCGGGATGTCGAAACTTCATAAATTGAATAATAATTTAAATTTGGACAAGAAGTTAACCCAAACGGCCAAATTGAAAGAGAAACTAGAGGTATTGTGAGCAATGAGCTCACTAAATGATACCCCCGCCTCCTATATGGTTATAATGGCAAAGTCCATATTTTGCTGTTGTCGCTAAACCCAAAATACGTGTCGGATCAAAAAGTAAAAAAGGAGATGCACAATGGTAATATGTAATAAACCTAAGATTCTGTGAAAGTTTTAGTAAATTTCACTAAGTGGTATAAGAGGATTTGCGGATAAGAGATGGGTACCCCAAAGCGTAACAGACCGACGGACGGACATAACTATTACTATATACCCTCCCACTTTTCAAGCGGGGGATATAATAAACGTGAAATATACATTACAGGAATGGGTACATTGGGAACTTTCTCAAATACCCTCTCAAACGCGTTGGCGTCGGAAGCAAATTGGAAGGGGGGGGGCTAAGTGCAAAGAATTTTTTTATACATTCAAAAAATCTGAGAAGCTTAAAAAAAGGGGAAATGTCCTTTTCCAAAACACGAATATCATATTTCGTGTGGGGGAAAGGGGGGGGGGGGGAGGTAGGTTCGAACTTCAGTAAAAAAATTTTCTCTAAACAACAACAATTTGCTCTTTTTTAACCTATACTGCGACTTGTCTGTGGAAAGTTGGGGGGGGAGGCTAAATCTACGCAGCAATGTTCAATGTCTATACTAAGTATATATTTGTAAAAAAAAAAAAAAAAAAAAAACCATCCCCCTGTTCCGACACCTATGCTCAAACGTACGAGTCGAACCTGAACCTGGTTTTGTTTTGAACATATTTTATTGTATAAACAAAAGGATTGGAAACAAGTTCTTTCAACTTACGAGTTCCTCTCCTTAAATATAACTATATGTCATGCAATTAAAATACATGTAGTACATTGAGATATATATACAAAAGAGATACAAGTGAGATATTTGTTCAGAACCTGAACCTGGACAACAGACAAGAGAATTTTTAAAAAGCTAATTGTAGGTAGAATGTGGAATTCTCACGGGGGGGGGGGGGGGGGGTTGCTCTCTCTTTCTATCTGCTTTTTCTAGTAATCATTATTTATTCATGTCTAGAAATTTAATTCACATTAAATTCTGGTCAGCGCAACTTCTTATAAACCACTGAACAGAGTTTTGTCGAACTTTCGAGATATTTATAGGAGTCAATGTATGTCTAGATTTGCACATCACCAGGAAATTCCGAATTCTTTATTTTTTCGGGAATTTCCGCACTTTTACATTTAGATTTTGGCCATATCTTGAAAATAAAGATGAGCAGTTTGTCAGCGCAATTCCTCATAAACCGCTGCACACAATTTCGTCAACTTTGCAGATATTTAGGACACAATGTGCATAGATGTGCATATAACAAGAAAATTACGATTCCTTTTTTTTTCTGGGAATTTCAGCACTTCGACTTTTGGGGGAGGGTGGGGTATGTTTTCATTCATTGTGCATAAAATCATAAATAACTTTAAATCAAATTATATTAGGTCTAATAAAGCCAATACACAGTATTTATTTGATAATAATTAATCATAAAGAAATCAATCTGTTTCAGACGTTTCCTTAAATTATTTTTATGAAAGTGTTAATATGCATGTTTTATTACACCCCCCCCCCCTCCTATCACAGGAAAATATCTTCAAAAGGTGAATGATTCGTAATAATGCATGCTTTATTATAGATTTAATTTAATGAAGTTAAACCAGGTAATCATAAATTCTATTTGCAACATTTACAGACAAGAGTAATGTTTAGTTTTGAAAAAATCACTTGCATCTTTTTTCAATCAACCCCACTGGGCTTTCAACCTTTGATATTTTCCCTGAGCAAATAAAATGATCGGCATGGGCCACGTGTGTCCAAGCATCTTTTACTGTTGAGTTAGCAATGGATTACTGAGATGCATTTTTCAATAAAAGTAAAATAGGATAATTCTTTCGACATGTGCACATCCCTGTAACGATAACAGTATATTCAGGTAAATGTTTTATCACTGCGTTTGACGCGTTTTCTCGACCTGCACTGCATGGATTTTTGCTGTACATGAATGTATTCCGTGTTAGTGTGTTTTCTATATTGCAGCAAATGCATTCAAAAATAATTTAATTCTCGGTAGAGTTCTATTGTTTGGTTGAAGTCTTACTTTTCAAACATGTATTTGGTCAGTTTATGGACTTCTAAAAACTATGCTATCGGAGATGTGTACATGGGATGTCGACAGCCAGGCTAGATAATCACTCAAGTGAAACAATTCTACAAGGCTATATATAGCAGGTACAGGTGGCCAAAAATCTTCGATAAATATGGCGGAATTGAAGAAATATGGCGGACAAGGGTGTGCAGGAATGTAGTAAGTCGTACAAAGATGAAAACTGATGCCTTTTTAAGAGTTCATGTCAGCTTTAACTCAATTCGGTCAAATCACACCAAATATGACACGTGATTTTTGGGGGACAGTAAACGGGCTTTGACTGACCACGTGTTACCGGTGACTACAAATGCCGCGCTGGAATACAATCATTCAATACGATTAGACAGTGTTATCGGGGTATTGTTGGATTCTGTTTTTTTATATGCAAAGTAGTATTGATTTCATTCAAATCAAAAATCCAATCGATGAATGATATGATAATTTTTACTACGGTTGATCAAGCAAAGTGACACCCTGTTAGTTGCATGCTTTGGCGGGAAAATTCGCAGCGCCCTCACCGGTGATGTATAGAAGTCGAAAGTAGAAATCTTGAATTGTAACTGAGATAACAACATGAACAATGGAAGCGTCATCTAAAGCTTCTGGCTCCAGTTTACCACCACCATTCTCACTCTCATCTGTACCACAAACGCGAAAAAGAAAAGCATCAAGCAAAAGCCCTCTAAGTAATGAAAGCGACGAAAGTTCCAGTTCTAGCTCGACTAGCTCCAGCTCCACCATGTCCACTTCCCTACTGAAACTTGGGAGTTATGATGGAGATCAAGTTTCAAACTGGAATACTCTTCAGTTAGAATCGTTTGGAATCTTTTATGATGTAAAAGCAACAGAATTGTCTGAGTTATATAAATCAGCCCAGGAAAAGATGTGTTCGTCAGCAGTAAACAATGCCACGTTTTGGACTAAACTTGTTAAGATAAAGGAAATTCTGATTGAATCAACGAAGAAATGCTTGCATATCTTAGATGTTGATGAAGAATTTGACATGGAAGACTTGGATTGGGCGGATGTTAAAGAAGAATCCCAAAAATGTGGGCAAGCAATAGCAAAAGTTAGAGAGGAAATGTCATTGAAAATTGGATCATTGGATAATCTATCCCGGTATGTTTTCATTTACCAGTTTGGAACATATTGGTCCCTTGAGTTGATAAGATTGATTTTAGTCATGACTTCTTATAACTTGTTGAGATGACTTCACTGATTTATGACTTGACATAAACAAAGAAATAACCCATTTGATTTAATTTGTAAAATTTAGAATGCCTGTTCTTGGAGCTAAGGTTTGGCCACAATCAGGTCCAATCCAAAGACTATTTCTGCCTATGTAGCTATTAATAGCTACGTAGGTATTTAAACCTATCCAAAGTAGCTATTTTTACCTACTTTCTGCTTTATACTTGCATGCATTTTGTGGCCAAACACAGGAACGGTGCAACACGGTGAGCTCCAAATTTCTTGATACCTTCACACTGGTGATGGATATGACAGAAATTTGGCCAAAAAATGATTACTTCATATATTATCAATTTTGCATAGAAACTAATGTAAAATTGCCGATTCAGGAAGTAATCATTTTTTGACCAAAATTTTGTTGTATTCATCATCAGTGTGACTGTATCAAAATATGTGGTATTCAGCACGTTGCACCGTTTGGTCTTTTGGCCACAAAATGCAGATAATACAAAAAGTAGGTAAAAATAGCTACTTTGGGTAGGTTTAAATACCTACGTAGCTATTAATAGCTACGTAGGTAGGAATAGTCTTTGGACTGGACCTGACCATATGGGGTCAAAATTTGTTATGGGATTAATGAGAAAAAAAATCTTTAAAAAAATTTTTTCTGGAGAATAACCAGTGTGCCAAATTAAGATTTGAATAGATATATCTCTTGTTGAATCGGACTATCCTGATCCAAAAAAAAAAAGAGAGAAAAAAAGACCAAATTTTCTACCCTAGCTATTACCATAAAATGTAAATGTAAAATAAGATTGAACAAGAACAAAAAATTCACCCATAAGTATAATCAGTAAATAATTTTGTACTTTTGAATTTGATTTTGTTACGTTTAAGGTAAAGATCCATACCACGTAAAATAACGTTATGTGACGTTATTCTCGTTTGTGACGTTATTACGTCAAACGCGCCCGACGCTTATTCTATCAAAAATGCCTGACGTCGATTTCACTTACCGTAAAAAAAGGTAAATTAATTTCCAAATAAAAGGCATAAATATACGATGTTCAGTTATTTTCCGGGATGCATGATCGAAGGAGAGTTTAAATTTAGATGATTCGTCAAACCGAAAGTACAACAAAGATTAAGATGGCATGGAAGATTCATTGTCTCGAGTACAAGATAACTAAAAGACTTCGACAATCAGGTCGTTTTTTGTCTCTGTAAGTTGAAGAAATACAGAGTAACAAATAAATGGTTCTCTTGTCGAAAGTCATTATCGTTTGCTTACATGTTTGTACAGAGGCTTAGTACATAACCATTTTCGAACCACGTACGGCTCTGAAAGTATTCAGGTACCTAACTACTTTGCTTCAATATTCCGATTTTTATATGTCGTTTTTCTCTTCTCGATTGTTTGAATTAAAATATCGTCCCCTGGGGATTGACTCAGGATTTTGAAAAAAAATTATGGAAAACTTTTTTTTTTCAATGTATATATCATACATAAAACAGTTACTGCACAAATATTAATGCTCTGTTATTTGGTATATCCTTGCACTGAAACATAAAATAATTATTGATAAAAAAAAAACCCAGAATATTTCATTTAAGGGGCAATATCCCTCTGCTCCAAATTTCCCGACTTATTTTTTAAAAATCCAGACATTGATTTTCAGCAACAACTGTAGCATTAAATTCAAATGGAAAATAGTTTGAAGTATGAAGCGTTGCTTACTTTTTCAGAAATGAATAATATGTCAAATCATGATGCGAAGAAAATTTGATATGGTAAATAGAAAGATTTATTTTTTTCTATCTCACAATTAAATTAAAAATATGAGGTATATATAAAAATAATATTTACTCTCATACCTATCTAATTCCCATTAGAAAACATACTGAAGCGCTGCTTTTTAAATCACAATTACAAATTGTTTTCTGTGCATGTAAAATAACACCCATCCACAAACAAGAGTTATCGTTCCATTATCGCCCTTGAAAATATTTTTTAATAAAACAAAATATTAATTAAATGTTTATAAACAATACTGCATCTGAAATTTCTGTACAATTAAAAGAATTATACTTTAAGAGATAGAGATTTCACAATTTACACTGTTTAAAGGAACTGAGTATAAATGTTTTAAGTAAATTATTATAAATAATTAATGTACATACTAGCAATAGAAACTATAAATCAACATTTGTACCAAAATAAGTTTGATTGAGTTGACTATAATAATGGTTCCCATGAATGAAACTTGTAAACTCTGACATGAAAATTTACTGAATTCATGACAAAATGTCTGAAGAAAGTTATCTCTCTTATCATTTCTCTCTTCAGAAAAATATTCCACCTTAAGTAGGAAAGGGGGGGATACATTGACAAAAAAATTCCTTAATACACATAATATGTGATATATGCTGAAAATTTGGAAAAATGTTTTAAAGCTAGTGACAATAATCTTTAGCTATCATTTGTAGTGCTTTGGGTATACAATGTAGTGTATTGCTGCACATGTCATTATACTGACAGGTGTCCTGGGTTCGATTCTCTGGAAGTTGAAAAAATACAGAGTAACAAATAAATGGTTCTCTTTTGTCGAAAGTCATTATCGTTTGCTTATAAACTTGTACATAGTACATAACCTTTTGGGCCTCTTGTTATATGTTTGCTAGAGCCAATTTCCAAATTGATGATAAAATTACATATTTCTCATCTACGGTATATACAATATGTATAATAAATGAGAAAAACATACGTCGACCAGACCAAGGGGTCTATATCCCATGGGGAGGGGATATTTCTGTCTTCAAGCACCTGTGAATAGTATAGCAATAGATATCAGTCGCTAATAAGATAATGTGCAATTTTATGCATTACCATGATTACTGTAATGATAGTTAGATTTAAACCCACAAATAACAATATGACAGTAACAAAGAAGGGAATACATGTATAAGATGATAAATAGGAATGCCTATGAGATCATAGAGGGTGATATAAAAAGGAATAAGGAAAAGGATAAAATTTCAATCAGACAATTCACAAAATCAACTCTGTTAGTTAAGCCGAGTGCTTACAATGTTATAAATATACAATTAGGTTGTTCGTGCGTGGTTTAATCATGCATTAATCATTAAAAACAAAGATAACCAGTTTCAGTTTAGATTTTATGGATTTATGTCAAGATTTTAGCTTTTTATTTGAATGAAAAATTATTAATACTGTCTCATAAAAGTTATGACAGTGTTTTTTTTTTCAAAAACAAATCAATTTTCCAACATACAGAATTTATTGCATAATTACCTTGACCCTTTGATCACAAAATCAATAAGGGTCTCCCTCGAACCACAGAGAGTTGCTGTGTAAAATTTCAATGCAAAGGCTTCTTGAAAGTGTTACAGACAGACAGAAAGACACACGGACAGATGCACAGACCTAAATTTAGTATCCCCACTTTCAGTGAAAGGGGAGACAATTATATAAGTTTTTTTTTTTGTTGATGTTAAACTTGGTTTATCAAGATACTTGTTTAAAAAAAAATAGCATAACTTTCCCAGTGATTATTCAGTTCTTTCTTTTCCTACATAAATAGTTTTTGATATCATATTGAGCTTAATAATATTATACACCTACACATTTATCTATTTTAACATCAATATGCACTAAGCAACACAGTTCCAAAAAGCCAGATAATGTATTGGACCAGCATGCAAAACTTGTATCAAACCATTTTCCCCCAAATGAATGAAGAGTACTTCCCAAACTTATGAGTTAGGACTTTGTGCTGTGTCATGTAGCATGATAAAAAGCTGGAGAAGAAAAAAATCTTTTTTTTTTATTTCATTATTAGAATACAATTTTAAAGAAGTATAATTGAACTGCCTAAACTCCAATACAAGTCAAATTGAACCATCTTGGATGTCTTGATTAAATGTTTTTATTTTAGGCACAGAGCAACAGAAAAGAGTTTTTTTTTTAAACTAGACCAAGTTCATAATGCATGTATTATTCCTCAGGTACTTTTAATATACAAGTATACATACAAATTAAATATTCAGTACCTGTAATGATGTTCATCAGCTCAGACAATTTCAGGTTCGAGAATCTGTGTCAAAACTCATGGAACAAATGCTCACTGGATCCATATCAAAATATCACTTTAACATAGAACATTCTATTTACTCAGGGAGTTGTTGACTTTTAAAGCATCATACCAATGACTTTTCATACCAATTTTGCATAGATCAGTTTTGCCAAGGAGGGGTCCTGCCATCCAAGGTCACTTTTAGTAAAATTCACTGTTATCTTAGGACTTTCAGTAAGGCAGGATATTCTTGATGTTATGTATTTAGCCTCTAAAATTTACACAGCTTTCATTCATCGTTGAAATATATGTGGCCGGGATAGAAATTCAGGACATATAAGAAAGTAAGATTACTGGTAAGTTGTCTAATGATTGTCAACAATGATTAAAAGTACCTGATGTTATTAATTTTTTAACCAATGAAAATTTATTTGCCATTTGAAAGACACTAGTGCCGAGAATACTACGTCTTACTAAAAGTCCAAGGATGGCAGAGAATAATTGTACTGCTAGGTTAAGTATGTACATTTAATAATTCTGCAATGTCCATGGGAACACACACACTCACCACTAGATCCGCCATGAAAATTTCAATCAAAAAGCATCCTATAGAAATTATACTATGGAAACGAGAAAAAAAATATAAGTGCTGACAAAAATTATTGTGTTAGGGTGATTTTGACAGCTCGGTCAGAGTACATAAAACAACTATTTTTTTATTGTTTGACTTACTTAACCCTTTTAATTATGAACTCTTTCATATATTTATAAAACCTAATTGATTTTAAAAATACATAAATTACTTCACATTTTACCAATTAAATGACATAGGTT